TATATATATATATATATATAGCCAAAAGTATTGGGACACCCCTCCATTGGATTCAGGTGTTCCAATCACCTCCATGGCCACAGGTGTATAACATCAACACGTAGGCATGCAGACGCTTCTACAAACATTTGTGAAAGAATGGGTCGCTCTCAGGAGCTGTGCAATAAGTACATCCGTGAAATTACCTTGCTACTAAATATTCCACGGTCACCTGTTAGTGGTATTATAACAAAGTGGAAGCAACTGGGAACAACAGCAACTCAGCCACGAAGTGGTAGGCCACATAAAATGACAGAGCCGGGTCAGCGCATGCTGAAGCACACAGTGCGCAGAAGTCGCCAACTGTCTGCAGTGTCAATAGCTTCAGAACTTGAAAAATTTGTGTGGCCTTCAGATTGGCACAACAACAGTGTGTAGAGAGCTTCATGGAATGGGTTTCCATGGCCGAGCAGCTGCATCCAAGCCTTACATCACCAAGTGCAATGTAAAGCATCGGATGCAGTGGTGTAAAGCACGCCGCCACTGGACGCTAGAGAAGTGGGGACGTGTTCTTTGGAGTGACAAATCACGCTTTCTGTCTGGCAATCCATTGGACGTGTCTGGGTTTGGCAGTTGCCAGGATAACGGTACTTGCCTGACTGCATTGTGCCAAGTGTAAAGTTTGGTGGAGGGGAGATTATGGTGTGGGGTTGTTTTTCAGGGGTTGGCCCCTTAGTTCCAGTGAAGGGAACTCTTAAGGCATCAGCATACTAAGACATTTTGGACAATTTAATGCTCCCAACTTTGTGGGAACAGCTTGGGGGTGGCCCCTTCCTGTTCCAACATGACTACACACCAGTGCACAAAGCAAGGTCCATAAAGACATGGATGAGTGAGTTTGGGGTGGAGGAATTTGACTGGCCTGCCTTCAACCCGATCGAACACCTTTTGGGATGAATTAGAGCGGAGACTGGGAGCCAGGACTTCTCGTCCAACATCAGTACCTGACCTCACAAATGCACTTCTGGAAGAATGGTCAAACATTGCCATAGACACACTCCTAAACCTTGTGGATGCCTTCCCAGAAGAGTTGAAGCTGTTATAGCTGCAAAGGGTGGGCCAACTCAATATTGAACCCTACTGACTAAGACTGGGATGCCATTAAAGTTCATGTGCGTCTAAAGGCAGGCGTCCCAATACTTTTGGCAATATAATATGTGTATGTCTGTGGTGATCAGGTCCCTGGGTAAGAAAAAAATCCTAAGCCCCACTTACACATCAGTAAATCCCATCCTGAGAGCATGGGGTGTAAGGGGGTATAACGCCTCTATTCCCCACATTCTCAGCTGCACAAACCCGTTATGCATGCTTGTATGAAGGACTGCTAGCATTATGCTGCCACAGAGAGTACTCCTATTCCAATATGGTGCAGTTGCCCCCTCTACTCACCGTCCTGATAGTGGCATTGGGTGTAATGAACTGACAGGCAGTTAGGCCTTGTGCAAGAGCTGTGTGTGTGTAGCAAGCATTCTAAAAACCAATTGCAGAGCATTTAGCTGATTACTTAAAGAATCTTTAAAAAAAGAGATGGAAGCTGCTGTATTTTGCAGTGAAAAACTGAAATCCCCCATTTAGAAGCCTGTGATTGCTTCTACTCAGAACGATGTATTCCTGTTATGCATTAGAGGAGGCACTACGTTCCCCAATATGATGATCACATACATGCTTATTTTTACTGTCACATTTTATCCAAACTTTTTTTAGTTTTACCTAGTGCAGAGAAGGAATAACCCTCCCCCCACCCTCTTCTTTTTTTTTGTCTGTGTCCTGCTGAGGTGTTACAACAGAAAGTATGTAAAAATATACTCTTGGGCATTTTATGCGTTTCCCACCATTTTCTGTCCCTGTGACAATGGCCACAAGAACAAATTGAGCTGGTGAATCTGCTGCCAGCGGTTCTCACCTTACCACACTCTATCCATTACTAACTTTTCGGCTGTAGATGGGCATTACTGCACTGTACTAAATAAAACTAAAGTTGGATGTTTGTCATTCTGTTTAAGGGTGGCGTTATGGGAATCCAGATTAGCTGGAATTGTGATCTGGACAAGAAGCATACATACTGTGTTCCAAGGTATTCATTTCGACGATTGGACAACCGAGAACTAGATCACAATGTGTCTCCTGGATATAATTTCAGGTAAGCAAACACAACAACTTAATGCAATGCTGGGCTGATCCAAAACAAATATCCTTTGCGTTAGACTTGCCCTCGCTTTATATGATTTAAAAAAAAAAGAAGTTTGTGGTATTGAATTTTTGGATTCGCGTGTTTCAAAACTTGTGTATTCCCCTGACAGACACTGTGCAGATGCATATTCTGTCACATTCCTCTTAACATGCACACTCATCTAACAAAGTGACAACATTCTGTGTTGCTGCTGCTAAAGTAATACTCCAGCGTTAAGCAAAGAAGGATGTGATGTGTGTGATGTTTACACTATTTAGTGATTCAATGTTATTAAAGTAGTATGTCAGCCCAATTACTAAAATCACTTACAAGCTTTAACGTGATCCTGCCATGCAGATACTTGTTCAGACACTTCCTAAAAACTAGACTAAAAGTGGCAATTTCAACACACATTACACATGCATGGTCCACTGTTTTTCAATAACAGGAAACTGCCCTGCGAAATGCCACGCAGCCATCATGAGCGTAGGCCTGTAGATGGGAAGCGGCTGCAGAAAATCAGCAGTACTGAGATGCATCAATGGGTGAATGCACTCTACTACAACTAAATCAAGGGGTTTCATCAGCCCTGCCTGGTATAGTTTTGTGTCATGCTTTCTGCCCTAGGGTGACAACACTGCTCCTCCATAGGTCCAGTACACTGAGTTTGTGTTGTCAACCTTGGAACCCTAAGTAATGAAAAAAAAAAGTAATGCCGCCTGCAACCACCACATCTAAGGTGGTAAGCTTCAATATATTAAAATTGCCTTCTTGGGCTTAAAACTTTTAAAGTGTAGTTCTACTTTTTCAGTCAAATTTGAGAAATCCCTACTATTTGTTTGTGTTTCCATTCTCATGTTTCTTTAGAGAAAGCCTTTGTGCAGATTTCAGGCTGCTGTGACCAGTTTGAGAGTTAACCTAGAGGGGCACACTGGGGGATAGACTGATCTTCTCATTAGCATACAATGCTTCTAAGTCTTTAAACCTTTTGTTAGGACAGACAGTGTTCAGAGCTGTTTTACAGCTGATAATGGCATTTGCCAGTACAGTACAGACAGGGTTAATTAGAGTAACATGAATTCCACAGCTCCTTCTTTAACATTACATAGAGGGAAAGCTAGGCAGGATTAAGTTAAAAAGAGGTAAGCAAGTTACTTTTTAGTAATGACACCCCATCACACTTTGACAGACTGCCAGAAATGGTAGCTGCACCTTTTTGGGTGCCTTCTGGTCCATTAGTCAGCCAGGCAGCATGCGCTATTGCACCACACCGGTGTGAATGAGTCCTTACTCCCTATATTGAACAACTTTTAGCAAGTATCCTCTTCTGCAGATAGAGATTGGATATACCAGTACAAGGCTCTGCAATATGTTTGGCTAAATTATTGAATTGTATGTAGCTGATGGAATAAATCACAATAAACAGATTTGTTCTTGTATATGGAGGACTCGCCCAATAGAAATGTTTCTTCCATGTAGCAGCTGCCAGAATGTACACAGCAAGGATAGGTTATAAAAACTGGGAAAAGGACAAGCATGGCGTAAGTAATCAGTCACCTAGTCTTCATCAACCACCCCACAAAAAAGGACTGATGACACTTCCTTCAGTTTCTCTCTGTTCACGTTTCCACTAACTGAACTATATTGAGTTTTTTTGTTTTGTTTTTTAATCAAACTAACAAACAAGAACCATCTGTGTTCTTTCACAGCAGTCGTTCAGCTTCTTGTTGTCACTTTTTTAAAATGAAGCGAAATTGTGATGACTTGCTTTGATCAAAGACCTTTCTGTGTCTTGCATAGTGGTTATTTTCCACTATTGAAGGACAATTTATTGTTAAAAATCAGTTACCACAAGTGAACACTAGAGGGCAGTATGGATCTATTCCTTGAATGTTAGTGGCATAGACTTTTGGGGACACGACAGGCCATGCTATCCCTGCTCAGCTGTCTCTCACAGGTAGGTGTTCGGATCAGTTTCTCTCTGTAGCTGTAAAGTATACCTGTAACGAGGAAATATAAACACCGTCATTGCTGACCTTCCACCTAGAAAATACTGGTTCCGTGGCTGTCATTCTGGTCCAGTGTCTTTTAGTAGTTTGATCCATTCAGTCAGAACAAGTATAATTAGAAGTTTTAACTTTACCTCGACTTTCCAGATCTGCATGCTCATTCCTGCTTAGGGCCTTTAAAAAATCTTGGAAAAGACAGCCATGATTTCAGCATTTCTTTAGAAAGAAGTTGGCAGAGGCAGCCCCCATATTTCTCTCAGTACAGGTACCAGGGGAATTCCATTCATCTGCTGCCTATTTTTTGTTGTGTCTGTCTCTCTCTCTCTCTGTCTGTGCCTCTCGCACATCCTGTATAATGATGGAATTGTTCCCTTTTCTGTGGAGAAACAATTAACTGCCAAATCATTGAAAAGATTTCCCAAGTGAGCTTAAATGTTGCCTGTATGTCACAAGCAATCTACATATCTCTTGCAGTCAGACCATGTAGAAATTCATGTATTTCTGAATTGAAGCAAGGCCTGCTGTATTCCAGCAAAAGGCTGACTAATATTTGTAATAAGTTAAAGGGTATCTATGGTCAAAAACTAAAAATATATATGCATTTCTATATCCAATTTCCATAAGTTCTACTTCCCACTCCTAATAACCACATTGATTTAGATGTTTGTAAACTTACTTATTGAAGATGTCCATTTCACAACTTCTGTGTCACAACTCTTCGGCTCCATTCACACATGAGCAGTTTTCATTAAAAAAACAATGCATTCCAACGTGCATTGTTCAGACTATTGCGGAGTTTGTGCAGTACGAAACCACGCCTCTCACAAAATAGTCAGAGCGCGATATTAGGGGCAGATTCCGCACATTTTGCGGCTATAGTAATAGCTGCAAACGTGCGGAATCCACGCATGTGTAAAAAAAATTGCCTGTTTTCATGCCGCGTGGTAAACACATGCCATATGTGAATGGAGCCTTACAACTCAACGTCTGAACAATGTAACATTATCATTGCTTGCTGGAAGCAATGCATGATGGGATATGTAGTCTTGAGATTGCGTCACCTCAAGCAGCATGGAAGGAGATGTAAAACACACTGGGAGTCCAGGAAGTTGATGAAAGTGATGGGCAGACAGAAGGCAGCACTATAACCACTCTAGTATGTATTCCTTTTACAATGCTGATGTTATAACAGGACAGTATATACTGTGACTTTACAACTTCTTCTAGGTAGTAAAAGGAAAAATGCAGGAGCCCACAGGTCCAATGAGAACAAAACTTTTATTGTCAACATTCTGAAATCTATGATTTGATAAGGACTACTGCAATTTGTATATGAATTTTTATTCCTTCAGTATAATTTTCTTTGTTTTGACTATTACAAAGTCCCACCATTTAAAATGAAATTTGACTGCCATTTTATAAAATTGCCTCTTTCATGTGTTCTATGTAAACTGCAAAATACAGAGCCCACTGACCCTGCATAACTTGGCTACACTGTATGTGTAGGCATAATGGGCTAGGCGCTAAAAATTCTCAGTGTAGACCTTTTTGAGGGCTAGTTCACACCACAAGCAGTGCGTTCTGACCTGATTTAGTGCTGGAACGCACTGGATCGCATCCTGGCCGGCTCCCTGCGTTATGGTGCTGTCAGAAAAAATACTGCAGGCATATTTTTTTCCGACCGCACTGGACCAGAACGCAAGCATTGATGTGCCACGTGTTTGGGTGGGGGCGACCGCACTGTGGCCGGGGGGGCGTGGCTGTGGTGATCCGGCCAGGATGCGATCCAGTGTGTTCCGTCACCAAATCGGGCCGGGACGCACTGTTGGTGGTGTGAACTAGCCCTAAGGAAATAAGTAATATTTACACCCCAAACCAAAATGTTTGGGTTGGACCATCTCTATGAATATTGTAAAATGTGCAAACCGTCTCTAGGAAGCAAATATCCAACAACACAGGTCTGCGATAATTTGATGCGTTTCACACCTCCTAGGTGCATTGATGTCTGTTTTTGTGCCTTTTACGCCATTAATAAACCTTTTAAACATGCAGATAAGTATTGTGGACCAGGTAAGGTCTGGGCGCCACAATTTACCTGAACAGAAAATCTGGTCACCTTACTACATGATGGCTAGTCAGTAGGTCCTTAAAGTGACATTTTGCTATCCAGTATAGAATGTGTACAAAATAAAGTGCAATAGTAGAGGTGATTATCTTAGATCTGTGAGGTCTCCCTGCTTCGTGAATTAAAGGATTTCTCTGTTGTGGGTATGCATAGCAGCCTTTAGGTAATACAACAACGACAACCATGTCATACAGGGTTTTAATGCATTGTATTTTATCTGTGTGTTTCAGATATGCAAAATACTACAAAGATTCTAATAACATCGAGTCAAGAACTCTGATGAAAGTCTATGGAATCCGATTCGATATCCTGGTATTTGGAACAGTAGGTTCAGAATTTGGGTTTATATATTGATAAAATGTTACACCACTTTAATAGTATATTAACGCTGCCAGATAAAGTTATTGTTTAATAGAAACAACAAATACTAGTTCTAAAAGTGCACACAATGTATCCTTTTATAGTGTGGGACCACAACGGTATCTAGAGTGTCCTTAAAATGTATTCACATGTCATAAGAAAGTGTTGCTCCAATTTCCATCTTGCAGCTCTATATCAGAGCAGAGAGGAGCACTCCTCTTCTAAAAGAAATAGAAGGGAGAAGAGCGCAATGGCATAGTGTAGAACATTTCTTTAAACGTAAAATAAAGTGGATAAAGATGCACTCGCTAGCAAAAATCTTGCATAAATCAAAAAGCGGAGAGGATGAAATGAACACTGTGGCTAATGGAAGCCTCCAGGAAGTAAAGATGGAACCAGGATTAATCTGTAGAGCAGTGGTTCTCAACTTGTGGGTCGGGACCCGAAAGTGGGTCGCAACCCACAGTTGAGGGGGTCCCCACATGCCTTGTGCTGCTCATGGTAAGAGGCTCCTCATCCTCCTCCTAGCGTGGCAGTGTCAGTTCTCCTAGATGGCGCTGCAGCAGCAGCGGCCGGAGAGGATCAGAGAGAGGGGAGCAGGCAGGAGTGAGGGGAGGTGAATGCTTTATCACCATAGAGCCCACAACTAGGCACTACAGAGCCCGCACTGGACGCCACCTGAGAGTCCCACTAGCCACCTGAGAGCCCGCATAGCCTCCTGAGAGCTAACACAGATACTAGTATTGGTGCATACCTAAATTTTACGGTTGGTTGTCACCACAACTTGGCAAATGTTACCAAGGGGTCCAGGCCCTAGAAAGGTTGAGAACCACTGCTGTAGAGGAAGCTGGGAGCAGCCAGGGAATGGAGCGCACACATGGTGGAAAGGTGGTCATAGGAAGAGGCTGAAAACCTGTGAGTGGGTTCCGAGGGGCCTCAGAAGAGTGAAGAGACTAATTTTAAAGAATGATAAATGGACCTAAGATAGGTTGCTGTAGGCTGTCATTATTTGTATGTATAGTGTAGGATTCTCATTGCTTAAGTTCAAATCCACCTAAGACGTATATATTTATTAATTTTTTTCATGGTTGCTGGCAAGCTGAATTTTCGTGCTACTTGCTAAAATAAACATGGAAGTCTAGGTACCCATAAGTAAAATTGTTAAGAACTTGTAAAAGGATGACTCGACCCACCAGAATATTAACTTTGCTGTAAAGAAGGCAGGTAGCAAAGGTTTGGGCATTGTTTTAGGGGAATCTCGGAAGGGTGAAATTAGTTCTGTACCTTTTATAGAATACAACCCTTTATCAATGACCCATCTCCACATATACAAATATCTCCCAGCATGGATCTTTCTGTCGTGAGTCCATTATGAAAAGTCCGAATTTTCTTTAGTTAAGAATGAAGATGGTCCTTGCAGGTGTAATTCAGAGGTTACCAAAAGAACAGGCCCTCCAACCCATAGGACTGACGGGAACGTGTCTGGTGCTATGGTTTGCCAGGCTCTAATTGATTTCTAATGATTTGGATTGCATAGGTCAATATTTTCCTAAATGGTAACCATTATCATTTCAAAATAGATTGTTTAAATATACTGTACAGTATTATTTCACAGATGTACTCAGTTCTTACACTTTGTTCTCTGAAGACCTTTTTGATGTTTCTTCCCTTTTTAAGTTGCAGATATTATTATTTTTTGTGTAACTTTACAAATCAGTCTATCGTTTAGATCGATAACAAACCTCCGAAACAATGATGAATATTTGTTTTGTTAGGCTGGAAAATTTGATATAATTCCAACCATGATTAACATTGGATCTGGTGTTGCATTGCTTGGAGTGGTGAGTTTTTTTTCAAGACTTGTGTTCAGATGGACTTTAACAACAAAATGTAATGTTTTCCATCCCTTCATTTTTTATCCCAATCATATTGTTATCTGAAAGTCATTTCTTATCTGTTTAACACTCTGGAAGTCTAGCAGAATAGACCCTATGGAAGAGGTTGTTCACAGCAGGGAGTCATCTGTTAAATCATCACACAAGATGGCCTCATTACCATTAACCCATAACTGTATTAATTAGTACAGAGTGTTCACTTAATGTCATTTTAGATGTAGTGTAAAGCTCCCCATTCACCTTGCAATCATCAGACAAAACTTTTCGTCCGATGATCGAACCATCATACGATTTTCGTACGGCGGCCCCATCCTGCCCCGATTTATCGCAAGGTTCAATCGGCCTGTAGTGAAAAAAAACACACCTGTACGAATCTCGGTAATCGACCGCACGTATTTTCGCCTGGGCATGAGCAGTGTTAATCGTAAGAATTTTGACGTACGGAAACGCCACCAACCTTGCGAAAATCGTACGATCGACCGAAGTTTGCTAACCTGCTGGATAGTCAAAAGTCGATAGATTGTACAGTATTTGCGGTTGTACACTGCCCATCGACTTTACGTATATCGGACGAAAACGTGATCGCATACGAAAATCGGCCGGTAATCATAAGGTGTATGGGCACCTATAGTGTGAAGAAACAAAGCCCCTTCTGTGCCCCCTCTCTCATTCACTTTGTTATGGGGATCTGATTTTACCGGACTTCATGTTCTTAAAGATATGAACATTTTTTGCCCAAAATGAAATTTGATAATTGTTTGCTGTATTATATAATATATATTATAGTGGTCACAAGTGAAAATACATTCTTAGTAAAGAATAGTCGACATGGACTTACCTGTTTTAGAGGAAGCAATACATTGAGGAGAATTTATCAAAACTGGAGCAGACAAAATCTGTGCATGGCAACCAATCAGCTTCTCTTTTTTTATTTTCAAATCTTAACTGAACAAACCGAAAGAGAGAAGCTGATTGGTTGCCACAGGCAACTGCTCCAGTTTTGAAAAATTACTCTAATCCTCTTTATTGGGTAATATATCACTAGAATGTATGTATAACCAAATGCAAACTGTAGAAACGTCAAGCACAACTTTGGTGAAGATCTGTTACAGAGCTCTGCATAAGATGCCTGATATATTTGGGAATTGGTCTGAAAGCAAAAAAAAATGTGTGTTAGAAGCCTCAGGCAAAGGCTTCCACTCTCTAGCTCCCATGCTGCAGGCTGGTCCCAGGGAAGAGAGCTTGGACCTATTCAGCTTCACTGAAAGCGATCTCTATTGTAACTAATATACAGCATTGAATGAACTGAACAAACAAAACTGCTTCCTTCAGGTATCTCGCACTGTTATCTTATGTAACTGGTTACAGCTTCCCTTCCTTTTTTTTTTTTTGTTAGGCCACTGTGTTGTGTGATATCATTGTCTTCCACTTCTTTAAGAAAAGGTATTATTACAGAGAAAAGAAATACAAACATGTAGAGGACTATGAGGAGTTGGTAAGAACCTTTTTTTTTGTTTTTCTTGCTTTTATTTTAATTTTGAATCCTTCTGATATATGATTATACTTCTACTGATCACAGAATACCATAGAAGCACAGCTCCCTAGTCTTTGCTGCCTGAGACCCCAGCACGCCCCTAACTGGCTGAGAGCTTGGCTGATAACTGAGGCACTGTGGTCATGGGTCGCTGTGGTTTCTTAATATATTCTTTTGGAGAATCCACTAGAGCAGTACAGAAATATTGCGTCATTCTCCCTCTTGTGGATTCTTTATGAAACTTACAACCAATGACACAAGGAGATTGTCTAGAAAACCTTACAGTGGACAAGTGGCCAGTGTACATGTCTGGGCTGAGGTCCTGGACAGCAGTGAGAGCCAAGTAGAGGATCAGTCTCTGTCACCTTCCATGGAAAATGGAGAAGTCTGCCTTGGGTGGTGGTTAACATTTGTTAGGGGATATTTCTAAATATACACTATAAAATCTACATTTTGGAGAACAAAGCCTACTTGCCAAAGTCTTTGTTTCAAGGAAGGACTGTAATGCACACCTGTTTCCCAATGAAGAAAAATGGTTTTGCACTTTTATTCTGGGGTTCTGGGAACACCATCTTGTAGTAAAACTAAATGTGTCCAGTGATTCAATATAGTAGTCCCACCCACAGCAGTGTCCTTCTGTCTGTGTACTTTGTGGGCTGAAATATGTCATCTCCAGGCACACCTGCTTTTTTGGAGATTCAATGTCCCCTTTACTCTTCCTTGGACCCCAACCCCCACCTCACAAACCCTCATACTTCCATTGACCCCTTTGCTAGCTGTCTGACCCCCTTCACTGGCTTCCTTTCCACTTGCAATCAGTTAAAAGACCAGACACTACCTAAGACTGAAAGCTGCTGCAATCCAAGCATGAAACTGCTCTCTGAGGCAGCAAGTGGGGAAAAGCAAATAAGGCAGAAACTCCATCTTAAGTAGATGTCATTCTTGAGCGGCATTATCAGGTCACTGATTGTTTGTACATATTGCCTGTAGTTTAGGCTCCATTTACATCTATGTGTGAGCATAGTCAGGCAACTTAGAGGTGTTCTTATTATGCGTTTGAGCATTTTTCAAGCATTTTTACACGCCACGTGTAGTGCAGGAGCACAATTGTGCATTTTTGTCTCTTTTAATTAGGAGCATCTGAAAAACTCACGTAAACACATGTTCTTCAAGTGTGTTTTAGGCTCTCCTGTTATAAACCCAAAATGCACAATTCTGCCCCAAAAGAAGCTCATGTAGTTTTTTCAGTTAGACTTGACTGGTGACACTATCCTCAGCCATTGAAAACTATGTCATCCTTCCTGGTGAGTGTTGTCATGCTTAGGGAACTGAGCTATAACACACCTAGGTGTTAATGGGGCCTCAAGGTTGAAATTCAGGCACATATCAATAATAATAATTGACATGCCAGTCAACGCCATGGACATGCCAGTCAACGCCATGGACATGTTTACAGAAGGAGACGCTTCTGCTTCATTGTCAAGCGACAGGCTGGGCGGCAGGTTGATGAACAAGCTGTATTGTTTAACTGCAGCAAAGAAAAATGGCGGTGATGTTTGGTGGGGTGACTGCTGCTAGATGGCCTCAGTATGTTGGCCAGTATCCTTCAACTTCCTCTGAGCCCAGGTTGGCTTGGACCCACCCAATGCTGTGACTGAAAGTGAAAGACTTAAAAGGCAGCATAGCGATGAGCTCATGTCCCTGTCACTCTGCTTTCTCTTCCTGTCAGCATGCTTCTTGTCACACACAAACTAATTGGCTCATTGTGCTGCTGCTCCCTCACCCATTCTAAGCTCTGATGAACCTAGACTGCTAAAAGTCAAATTTAGATACTTGCATTGCTGGCATTTACAAATGCATTTAGTTATGTTTTAATTATTACAAAGCTGCATTCATTTGTGTGTTGTTTTTTTTACATCTGCCTAGAGTTCAGCGAATTCACTTTTGTATCATGATTTGTAAGCAGGCACTCTTTTTCTTCCAGGGAAATGGTGGAGCACATGGATCACATGGCTCAGACCCTTAAAACAAAGTAAAAGATGAAGTTACATTTTGGAACACAGGAGGGATTTTGATTTCCTTCATTCAGATGTTGGATCCGTGGCTTAGGAGCTCCAGAACGATACATTCCAGTGAGCTGTCACCAATGTTTGGTTGGCAGTGAGTCTTCGTGCACATCGTTTGATTGTCATTTTCCAAAAGGACCAAATTGTACTTCATTATTTATCACTGTTGTGTATATTTGATGGGATTCTCACAAAGCGCTACATTGAAAGGTTATTGTCATTGCGGGCAGTTTTAGGAACTCAAATGTGAACCTGTTTTTGGAGAAATAAGCACTTAGTTAATGGCACTCTGTCATGACGGGAAATCTCTTTTGTGTAAAGGCCGTGATGGAAGCAGTCATTGATTAGACTTCTATCTGGATACTAATCACATGGGGTTTATTTTCATAACAGATTATCTGAATTCACTACACTGGTCCAGTTGGCCAAATGTAAATGTACATATTTTATACATGGTGGGGTCCTGTAAAACACTGTAGAGACCAGAGCTACTACAACAGTGCTTTCCAATGATTTTTCAGGTCCTGTACTGAGCAACCTGGAATGATCAGTGAATACTAGATGTTCTCTGATTGGATGAGGGACACAAAGTCAAATGAGCAAGTAGGTGACAATGGCAGTTGCTGAGCTGTAATAGGAAATAGTGGTGTCGCACTGGCATTGTATTGTGACCGAGGCGTGGGAATGGCAGGTCTGGCTGGTTACTGTGCAATTGGCTGTTAACCTGCATTTTCTCTTTAGTTTTTCGGTAAATGCTTTTGAACCCTTTTGTTGTACAGCGATGTTAAACAGGAGCAGTGAGACAGATTAACGCTAAAGCTGGGTACACACAGACAAATATTTTGTATCCGTCCCGTGTGAGGCTGAACAAAAACAAATTGACAGATTCCACACTATCAACGCGGAGAAACGACTTTCCCGTTGTGTACATTGCAGTGACCACCATTGTTGTAATACCTGAACAGTCCTTTCAACTGATTGGTTGCAAGCACTGTTCATCTCGCAATTTGCCAGCATGCCCCTTTGACAAAAGTGGATCTAATGATCGAATAGATAGGGCCACCCTATCGGATGGCCCAATCTATTTGATCATTAGATCCATACGTATCTATCTATACGGATCGGATTTCATCCATATCTTGCTGAATCGTCCAGAATTCGATCCGTGTATACCCAACTTTAGATTGAGTCATAAATGTCTCCCTGTACTGTTCTAGGACTACGAAAGAAACCTGTCCCTGCCCCCTTCTTAGTTTTGGGTCTGCTTGGTGTTAGATTTAGCACTAGAGATGACAGATTCTATCTCCATACTTCTAGAAACCTGTCTGTTGCCTCCTCCTGATTGCAGGCACCGGGGTGTCAAATGCACATAAAAAAACCTGTCCCCCGGACTTTGCTAAATAAGAGGCAACCTGATTGTGTCCAATTGTGCTGCTAATATGCTTGCTAGATGTCCTCCTGAGTGTCCTATTCAGATACCTTTATTGCAGATGACGCACAATAGTGTACTGCGCCTGTGCTCACAGTGATGATTATCTGACCCAGTTTAATGTGCCCAGTTACATTGAACATATGAATGTGTTAATGTCTATGCTCTTATCTTGTAAAACTCTATTTATAATGTCTGGAATTTGGTGTATGGTGGACCTTTTTTGTAATGCGCCACCATCATACAGTGCTGGGTTTTTTGGTAGCTGGACCCCTGCTCACCTTAATTTATGTATTCTGTCACTAGAACAAGAGTGTGTTTATACATTACTTGAATATTGTCTCCGCTAAAAATCGAATTGCAATCATTTTGTCTTAAAGGGAAAATCAAATGTTTACAGATACAGCCAGTTGTGTACAGAACTAATGTTGTGATTCACATTGCACTTGATGATACAGCTTGATGGCGGTAAGGGCAGCTGTATCAAAATAGTAAGAATGCTAGCAAAGGTCAAATATATCCTTTGATAGCGGCAGGAGGCACCTCAGGGTAACATTTATGTGCCATCTTCCTTTGGGGTCCCTTGGGGTTAAATTGGGGACGTGCGTTCCTGTGATGCGCAGGTGTGAGCCAAGTCTAAGCCTGCATTTACACCCGAGCAATGTGAAATATGTGATTTTTCAGAGCATTCTGTGTAGCACAGGTTTTTTCTTTTTTTAACTGTCAGTACATTCTCTGGCTTTGGAGATGGAACATGAGGAACACATGCCAGTGACTGTATGCCAGGAACTGAGAATCCAACAGAGGGTTTTCAGTTTTATTTCACATTTCCTATTAAAATATGAAGCACTGTATTAAATACTTGCTATATTGATTTAAAAAGTACAATATAAATAGCTGAGTAATTTTGGTCATCTCACAATTCCAAAACAAATTTGGAAAAGTGGTCTTTTGTGATAACAACATGGCTGTTCCTGTGCAAACGTGGAATAGGAACTAATGACAGGCGTCTGTACTTTACATCATAAAGTCTTGTGAAATGAATAACTGATGTAATTTTTCACCACAAAGGCATTACAATCGAAGGAGTTGTATACAGGAAGGAAAAGGGGGAATAAAAAACTCTTCTCATTCTTGTTGAAAAATTGTCTCAAGATTTGCATATTTTTGTAATAAAATATACTTCTGCTGACTGGCCTATGTTAATTTGTTGCATCAAATTTTATAATCTTGGTCAGTGTATGCTTTAACAAGGGCTGTCAAAAGTCTGCCATTTTGGCCTCGTCATCACTGGTGTCTTACCATTTTGGCCTCGTCATCACTGGTGTCTTACCATTTTGGCCTCGTCATCACTGGTGTCTACCATTTTGGCATCGTCATCACTGGCAATGGAAGAAGGTGGCGTGATTTATCAAACCAGCTTTCCTTTTACGCTATGTGGATAACCGGGTCCATGTGCATTGCAC